TAATTCAAATATCAATAATTTTTATATATAAAGAAATTTAATATTATAACTTTTATATTTTAAATCAATCAAAAATTATTTAAAATTATGTTACAAAATTAAAAATAAATATTATTTTAAAAGTATCAATTCAATTCAAATATAAAAGATAAATAAACTAAATAAATATTTTAATAAATAAAAAAAAATAAAGGTAAAAAGAAGTAAAATTCAACCTAAAATAAATTATAAGCTTTTCATAATTACAATCGTTAACTTTTAAGTTAACGGTAATTATTTTACTTTATGTTTTGAAGCATGAAAATGCATTTTAATATATATATATATATAGTGAAAGAAATTATTTTCAACTAATAAATCACATTTTGAATTTTTACTAAAAATAGATCAACATATTTAATAGTTACCATGTTTAAAATAGAATTATCTTTAAAAAAATCCATAGCAAATAAATAAATAACTCAAACTTGATTAATAAATGTTTTTTTTTATCTCTGAAGTATCTACTATCGGGACTAATCTCCTCGTTACGTTGGTTGGACTATGTTTAATAGCTTATATATATTACTGACATTTTTATACATATCTCCCGAAACTGATCCAGAGATATGTTTGATGAAACATTATCATTGACTAAGTATTATTTTTTAAGAGACTATGTATTTTGCTAATTAAATATTATTTTAAAGTTTATATGATAATTGTTGAAAAATAATATCACGACAGATTGAGTTCAAATGCTAGTAACCAAATGCTTATATATTTATGGAAAGTCAAATAATTATTTCATGTAATATTTATTAGTAGTTTTACTATTATATTAATGTCATCTCTAAATTTATTTTAAAATTTAAAATTTAAATATTCTTTATTTATCTTAAAATAAATACTTGTACTAATAATAAAGGAGACTGTTAGGATAAAATAAAAAGGACGCTATTCCTTTTGCGTACACAATTGTCTGTATGACTGACTACTTCTTAATCATTTTGTTATTTTTTTTTTTACTTTCAAAACAGCTAAAAAAGCTATCCTTATAATTACAACTACTAAAAAAATATTCACCTACTAAATGTTAACATTTACTTTCATTTTATATATATTTTAAGGAATACATGACACAAAATGTTTTTTTTACACTAAATATAAATGAAAACAGTAATATTAGAGTATAAATCAAAGAAGTCCTGATTGAGTAGGGTACGTGAACAAATAAAAATAAATAAATATATATATACATATATAATTTTATAGAAATAAGAACAAATAACAGGAACAAAATTGCACTTAGCATTTTCCTTAAATAATCTTTCACTTTGAATCAAAACTGTGTTCGTGGTACCTTACAAAAGAATTCGATAATTACAGTTGTTTCTTCCCTCATCTAAGTCACAAGATAACCAAAAGTGAGAAACTAATGGTTTCTTGCCGCCAGCAGCATTTGTATTGCAAAACCGATGTCCATGTCCCCAGAACGTTGAGCTTCTTCTGAATAAGTCACACAATTCTGAGTGGTCCATTCGCAGCAATAAAATCTGACAACTTAGTCCCCCACTGCATATCTCTGATGTAAAATATCTCCTCTTGTTCTCCGCAACAATTTTCTAGGAAAGAATTGGTATAAGAAGCTTCATGAATCCATGCAGCACAATTAAAATGATTTTCAGAGTAATCACACGTTAATGTCTCGAACAGCTTCATATTTAAGCCACAGAGCATAAAGCAGCTCATTCCACGTGTCAGGTACACCAGGCAGACACCAATGGCTGCAATCTTGGCGACGATGAGGCATCACAGGACCCACAATACGTCCCAGATAATAGATTGATGAATGTCCATCTTTTCTATGAGCTGTCATCTGTGTTACATTCAATACCATGAACTTCTTAGTTTCAGAAATATTTGTGTGTGCAGATAAGACAGCATTGGTTATTTTGAATTGCGACCAGTTGTCATTAGGCACCAATGAAGAGCCAACCTCAGGTAGTGATTCTAAATGACAGTTTCCACCGTTTCTCCAATCCCCGCCTCTGAAACATATCAGACCAATTTTGTTTCTAAAGATATGTAGTATTGAACAAGATACTTGCGGAATATAACTATGGACAAGGCCTCAGGATCCAAAATTTAGGTACAACAGCATTTGATCATTTCAAATGTTTCATATTCAGAATATCAAATGCGGTGGTACACCACTCTACAGTATATCGAGATTAAAAAATAAGAAGTAATATAACTGAAGTGCAGGAACTCGTCATTTGAACTGTCAAACCAACCTGAAGTGCACTGGGGCTAGAGTACGAAAGAAAACCCGTGTCTTGCTAGGATTTACTGTTTCTTGTATCCAGTTCAACACTGTCTGAATGGACTGCTTGTATGCATCTTCTACTTGCATTTCCAACTTAACTTCCATGCCTTCTTGGAAATAACAACCCCTGAACAAATTTAGAAAAATTAAAATTTCAATCCTTTTTACAGGCCAAAAGTTAGTGATAAATGACCTTGACATATACAGTTTAAGAGTGATGCAACCAACAGTTTGAAATCATTGAAATTCGAGGAGCTAAGAAAGCACACAGTTAATCTTATAAGTTGGTTTTATGCCATGGCTTGGTCGGATTCAAATCTGATCAAATATAGACTCTATATCCTACACAAAATCAGATGTCTTTGGCATCATAGTCCAATCAACAGAAATTTATTTTTTAGTTATCTTTTCACATTTGACAAGAAATGATTAAGCAATAAAAATATGGGGAGAATTGAAATACCCTCTTATTGTTTTTTCATAATTCCACCAGTGGCCTGTGTTAAGAACCAGGATATCAGCATCTCTCCACTTGCCAGAGTTCCAATCCATTTTATCCACTTTCAGAGTTGTCCTAATATTTTCAGGAGCTCCAGTAGGAGGCCGGCTCTGCAATACAAGAAATGGAGCTCTGTAGTATTCCACTGTACAGTTAAAATCCTTGAATTTGAACACCAAGAACCCCTTGTGCTTTGTAATTGGGCTGCCATTCACTTCATAGATTGATTCCTTGTTAGGAACCCCTGAAGAGAGCATGCATAAGAGTGACTCCCATTGGTTTCTCCCAATTGAGTCCCCCGCAAACACTATGCGTTTGTTTCGCAGTTTTTCCAACATCATTGTTGCATTGAATCTGTTTTTGTTAGTGTCAAACCAAAGGTGTAAATTTACTTCATTTAATTTTGCATTAATCAGAAAACAACACTGTAAAGAAAATCAAAATAAATGAATACATAGTGACTGATTCTCATCCATGTAACACCATGGTTCATTAGTACCAACAACCCCGAAATAGCTCATTGAAACGAAGTTGGTCTCACAACACTGCAACGTAGGCTACTGATTATAAATGAAAATGTTGAAATTCTCTCAGCATTACACACATATATCACAAATACAAACTGGCTGCATTAAGAAAAGGAATTAATGAACATTGATTGACGGTGAAAAGGTTAAAAACGTTGTCATTGTCACCTAATTGTAGATTGTCATATATGGTAAAATTGTTGAATTTTGTAATATAATAATGTATTGACAGCGTTCTTAGATTGACCGTGCATGAAAATTAACACAAGATGAATAAAGGGCGTGTAAGGAATATAGTTCATTAGTTCAAGACACCAACAAAGGCCAATGGTTGCAGACTTGCAGCCATTATGCAAAACAGAAACAATCAAAACTAAGAAAGGAAACGAGGGTTCTGTTTATTCAAAACGAAGTAAAAGACAAACAGAAAAAGAAAAATGTTCAAAATGATGTGGAGAAGGAGGAACACAAAAGACAATGTTTTAGTACTAAAGGAATCGAACATTTCATCATGCTTATCAACATAGACATCCATGAAAGACTCGAGTTTCTGCGTGGAAATTGCATACAAGAAAATGATGTCATTTTCATAGAGCTGCGTGTCCCATTGTCGGATTGTCCCAATAGCTGAAAGTTACAAAGAAGGGATAATAAGACAACGGATAGCCAATTGCAACCAAACTGTTCGGTCGCTGTCATTCCGTCAAGATGCCAGAATAGATGGTTAAAGACACTCAAAGTCACACACCACAACAGTATTTTTTTCTTTTAACATTCCAATTTTCCAAATACTCAAAATTAAGCACGGACATTGTTTGCCGGTAGCGTGATATCCGATGATTGTATTCCTTAAAAATTCAATTGCAATAATTAAACCAACCTTTGAAATTACCATCCTCATCCTTATTTTCTCAGAAGGCAAACGGTTACTTAAGAAAGACATGAAAAACATAACCAACTTGATACTAAAATAAAACCAGTGGAAAACAAACATGAAACACCTACCTCGGCAAGTTGCAACCTTTGGGCTGCCACCTCCACTTGGTGTAAAACAAATCACGCCGTCCATTCTCAGAACATCGAAAACCTTCATCCAGAAAGCTGCAATCTTTTGATTGGTATAAGGGGTAGCTCTCATCCCAAACCCATTTCCCATCAAACAAATCACACCCACCACCCTTTTCTCCAAGAAACTCAACTCTGCGTGGCTCAGTAGACCCCTTTATCCGCAAACAAGCAAACCCATTGGGTTGCTCCAAGAACCCAAATCTTGAAGCAAAGTATCTGTTATCCGAATAGAAGAAGCAGCAAATCACAAAGACAGTAACAACAACAAACCCAAGAACACCCAGAGACGGCTCAAACAACCTCAAGCGTTTAGCCCTCCTAATAGCTTCAAAAACTGGCATGGCTTCGGCTTCATGCTGTGATGAGGTCTTAGGGGAAGACATTAACAAACAAAAGTTCAAAAGTTAGAGTCTTGTGGGTGTGGCTTTAACGGTCGAAGTGGTGGACACTCATAGCGAGACGGGGCAGTGAGAAAAACGGAAACTTAAAAGCTCATAGCAGAAGGGTGGCATGCAAGCAACATGGTATTCATGGGACGCAGCACAATTAAACAGGAGAAGCATGTGTTTGTTTACTTTGCTTGGTAGGTCAGTTTGGTAAATAGCATCATCAATCAGGAACAGCCAAAAGAAAGGGATGGGTGCGGAGGAAGCAAAGGAGCATTCATTCACTGATTTTCAATTATTTTCTAGACACTAAGATTCGGTGAATTAAAGAATTGATTAAACAGAATCAGGTGCTACTAGCAACGAGGACATTGCTTGCAAAATCTTAAAAGACCATTTGGGAGAATTCACTATCCAAATTTAATGGAAAATGGGATAACCGGTAACGGTATAGAGGACAGGTCCCACGCTCGTTTGAACTTTTGAAGAGAGGGTAAAAAATTGGCTTTATATTGGACCGTGAACACACGCGCAGAAAATGTACAACGTGTCTTCTTTTTAACGGCCTCATTTGGAAAAAAGTTATTCCAATAAATATTTACTTGAGAATGACATTTCTCAATTTTAAAAAAAAAATAATAATTAAAATCTATGACAACTTTCAATATTCCTAAAAATATTTAAAAACAAGTGTTTAATTTATAATGTAGTTTATTAAAGTGTGTTTGTTTCGTTGATTAAAAATTTATTTCCCAAAACAAGTGTCTCATTATAAGTATTATATTAAATTCTAGAGCTTTCAAAATGGGTTTCGCCCGGTAAGCCAACCCGGCCCACCACGAGTTCAAGTCGAGTTGGGTTGAAAAAAAATTAAAAATTTTAATGGGTCAAATTTGAACCCGGCTTACCCGGGTTAAACCCGTGGTGAGCCGGGCTGGCCCACAAACCCGTGATTAAATTTTTTTTTAAAATATAATAATTATTAGGCCATAGTGCAGCCCAACATGAGACAATAATGATTTAATGTTAGATTGTGATTTGTAATTTTTATGATTTTGGATTGTATTTGAAGTTTAAGATGATTTTGGATTATATTTATCTATTTGAGATTATTTAGATTTGATTTGATTGTATTTAAAATTATCATTTAATGTTTGGGATGAATGATTCATTTATGGATGTCTTAATTAAGAATCTCATATTTTTAAAATAAGTTTAAATTTTTGGGCTTTAGCTGTATATTAAGAAAAAAAAATGAAAAACATTATTTTTTTTAAAGGTGAGTCAACCTGTAATGGATCAGGCCGGATTCAATTTTTTTGAGCTCACTGATAAATGAGTTGGGTTGGGTTGACCTACCAAATGGTCAACCCGTGGTAGGCCGGGACGGGCCGGGCCGGGCCGGGTAGCCCGTTTTGACAGTTATGAAGACTAAACTACAAATCATGATAGTGATCCATTCTTTAACATTTCCCATTCAATCTTTTATACAACGAAAACTTATTTATTTTGTGCAAGTAATTTGAAGTATGTCACCTTACAAAATGATGGAAACTAATTTTCTTTTGTTTACTCCAAAGATAACTTTTAATCAATAGTCAAAGACTAGTTGCTTTTGAAATGTAGTGATCACCAAAAAATAATTTTTTTCCTTACAAATGATCAGAAACTATATCTTTTATTCTATAGCTATTATTTAGCATTGGGGTGTCAACCTACAATACACAACTAATTTCCACAGTGTATTTGATCCCCACACTCAATAGTTTCTTTTGCATAGTCACTAGTCAAAACACAAAAGCAAAAATACAAAAAAAAAGAAAAAAAAAAGTAATAATAAGATGCAAGGACAAACAAGAAGTTTCCAATATCATGGCCCAAATTAGTTAGGAACCAATTTTTGTTGGGCCAACAATTGGCCCAGTTAATTAATAATCCAAATAATGAGCTGAGTCATAGTCATAGCCATCGAAACAACGGCAGCTGACACGTAAAAACGGTGCCTATAAGGCAACCTCCGAGAGCACAGTGGGAGTTGTGAATTTGAGCGTTACTGTGTGTCGTATGAGTCTTTATCTGCGTCAATTTCAAAAGCTTGTATCTCGCTTCAATCAAACTATGTATTTCTGAAACATTACAGGTAAAATAGAGATTGAATTGAATTGGTTAGTTGAAGAAATTAGCAGCATCGACATGTTTAATGTTACTCGTTTGTTTGTGTCATCAAGAAGAAATTAACGTAGCAATTTAGTGCTTATGAGACGAGCATTTTTAAACTAACATCTGGTTATGACGACTATTAAGTATTAACTCTTCCGAATTTCTGAGAGATATTCCTGCTTGGGTCGTGGATAGGAGATTGGTGTTTGCTCATGTAAATGAAAGATGGCATGAATTCCCGAATATTATTGGACTCTGCAAAAACTTGTATATTGGCCTCTTCTCCTGTTTTCAGAAGGCAACAATTCTTGATAAGGTGTGTGGGAGGCTCCATTGACCATCAACCCCATTCTAGAGATATGCAAACCCTAAGGTCTTTGGAGGTTGACTCTGAGAGTGTTATTCGAGCAATTACTCCTGCACTTGATCCTACCAGACATAAGGGTCAGGCAGGTATAACATCCTCGCAACTCTGACTAATCCTTTCTTTTAATTACTGAAAAAGTAATACATTATTACATTTTATTTTGCGGCTGAAGAAATTGAAGAAACTAATAATGTTTCCTTCACTTATGTTTCAAATCAGGAAATATAGCTGTTATTGGAGGGTGCCGTGAATACACAGGTGCTCCATATTTTGCTGCAATTTCGGCCTTAAAAATTGTTAGTGCCTGCACTCCCTTCGTATTTAGCCTTTTCTGAACTGAATTCTCCACCTGAAACCAAAACGAAAAACGGTTTCTGTCGATTAAAATTATCCTACTATTTTCCCATCCATGCAGGGTGCTGATCTGTCTCATGTTTTTTGTACAAAAGATGCTGCTCCTGTCATCAAAAGCTACAGTCCTGAGTTGATTGTGCACCCTGTTTTGGAAGAATCTTATAGTGTCGGGTACAACTTCCAGTCTTCTAGTTAATCTTCATCTTTTGGAATGAACATTCCAAAAACAAGTGGATGTTGTTTTTAGTGAGAGACTAATTTCAGGGAGGAATGCAAGAGATCCATTTCAAGCAAGGTTGTTGCTGAAGTTGATAAGTGGATGGAAAGATTTGACTGTCTTGTTGTTGGTCCAGGCCTTGGAAGAGACCCATTTCTTCTGGTATGCTTTCCCTTGAATGATTCACTGTGTACCAATTTTATTACAATTTACACATATGGATATATCTCGCATATATTTAACCTATTCTGTTTACTTTAGGTATTTAAGTTTTGCCTTAAATCTTAAACTTTTCATTATAAATTTTAGTGAGGCATATGCATTTAGTCTTTTAGTTAGTTATATTTCTTCTAACCACACAAGATGTGACCTTAGGTGGGGGCTTGGCTTGTACTATACATTTTACACTGTTCCCTCGTATGTGCAACATGTTAATGAGTAGGATGGTAAACCACATCCGTTTTTTTTTTTCATTAAGCATGTATGATGTATCTAATCCATTCATGTAATGTTAATTCAACTATGATGTAATGATGGTATAGTGGTGACTGAAGACTGACAAAAAAAAATACTCATTCTTGGATAAGAGCACTATATATGTGTGTGTGAAAGTTCATTTGGCTTAGAATGTGGTAAGGTATTGTTGTTGAAACTTAATGCTAATTTGTTCTGAAGTTCTGATAATAAAATTTTTCTCTTTAACTTGTGGTATAGACAATACATTTTTCTCATTTCAGTTTTACCATATCTGCAAATGTCCACCATCTTTAATCTAACATTTGCACAATAATGTCAGGACTGTGTGAGTGAAATCATAAGACATGCAAGACAGTCAAATATCCCGATAGTTATTGATGGGGTATGTATATTGAGTTTTAGTCATCTGGCACAAGATCTGATTAACATTCTGATCAAATTTGGGCTTTGTTCAGGATGGACTTTTTCTTGTTACAAATAATGTTGACCTTGTTAGTGGCTATGCCTTAGCTGTTCTAACACCAAATGTCAATGAATATAAGCGTCTTGTTAAGAAAGTTCTGACTTCTGAAGTAAATGATGTAGATGCTCCTCAACAACTGCTATCTCTAGCCAGACAGTAAGTTCATCATTTCAACTTATCAGGTTTTTTTATTTGTCAATGCATTCAGGCAGTTGATCGTTGTGTATTCTGATGTTTATGAAACATTTATCTAGACAGACAGCTTGAGTTGAGCATGCAAAGTCTGTGCATCAACATATATCCTGAATCCTCCTACTAATAGAGAAGTAAAAAAGTATCTGTTGTTTGTCTTCATTCTGCATTTTGAAATTTAGTTGCTCAACTCTCAAGTGGTGTGTACCATGTAAAAGCAGATTATAATTCTGTTGATGTTTTGCTAAAAGAAAATTAGCATCTGTTAGCAATAAAAGGAATTATATAATATCATAATGCTCAGTTGTTTGCTTTGATGCCAGATGTGTACTTATTTCTCATTGTTATCTATGATTCAGTACACCATTTTAATGACAATTATATATTGTTCATGGGCAGGATTGGTGGTGTTACTATCCTAAGGAAAGGAAATTCTGATCTCATAAGTGATGGTGACACAGGTGGGTCTTATTTGGTTTGGTTTGCGGGGAAAGATGAACTCAGTTTCTTGTTCATCCTTCTTTCACTTGAACAACATTATTTTGCAATAGCAATAAAGAACTGTCACTCTCAATTTGTTTATTTTTGGTGCACATGTTGGGTGTCTCCTATGGCTGAATTGATTAGGCCGTTAGGTTTTGGAACAGATCGAAATGTTATACCAAGCATGACCAAAAATCTAGTGATGGTACAATAGACTCCAGTATATGCATTGGACCAGCATAAAGAATATTATAATAGAGACTTGCAAATGTTAGGAAATTGATTGATTGTGATCATATTATCATTATTGCAGTCAAAGCAGTGAGCATCTATGGTTCTCCTAGACGTTGTGGTGGCCAAGGTGATATCCTATCTGGAAGGTAAGTTTTTTTATAAAAAAAAAAATTATGTATGTGTTCGTGTTTGAAATTCTCTTCTGGCAAATTTAATGCTATATGTTTACTTGGTTCCTTCATTTTGAGATAAAATGTTCTTTTATTTTCAACCATTGATTTATCCTTTGCAAAATTGCTGATGTACTTTTAAGTAGAGCAATAATTTTCTCTTTAAATGAATAAATGCTATCCTGATATTTTGGTGGGACTCAACTATGTATAATGCTTAAAAATACTTTAGGAAGGAGATTGTTTCAGTAATGCTGTTAATGCGTACTGCTGTTTTCAACTATACTTAGCTCTGAGAATTGGAATAAAGCGACTCAATTATACTTGTAGACAAGTACTTATGCTGTTGGCTAATGTTTGTGTTGATGGGAAGCAAATGGAATGACATTACTGTCATCATTGAATTTTTCAAAAAATGACAGGAGTAAAATGAAACAGTAGAATCCATTCCATCCCACACCCCAGTCCTCCCAATTTTTTTGCGGGATTATGAACCCACTTCTTATTTAATGTAATATGATTCAATTATGCATTTGTCCTTAATAGCAATGAGTGAGTTTCAATGTTTAATGGATTATTCAAGATAAGGGTATCATGGGAACAAAAGTTTTTAAATCTTACTGTTCCATTATTTTCTACTATTATTTCCAAACAAGAGGGTAAAAACTGTACTCAATTCCTCGTTGGATATCTAGACAATGGTGTGAGATCTTTAATCCATTTCTTTCCCATTCTACTCCATTATATGCCTTTTTCACTCAATCACCATTAATTTGTGAAGTTGGAACATTAAATGTTTTAAGTATGCTTATCTTAATCGGTGCAGTGTAGCTGTCTTCTTGTCATGGGCACGTCAACATATCTTGGCTGCTGATTCAAATATAAATCACAGGTTTATGTCACAACTTTCCAGACTAAACCATAAATATTTTTCTTTTATGTGTTCAAATATGCAGGCCCATCTTTAATACCGGTTATGTACTTAAATCCATAATATATTTATGTTTCAGTTGTAAAAATCCCACAGTTTTGGGATGCATTGCTGGGTCTGCTATATTGAGGAAGGCTGCATCACTTGCTTTCTTGAATAAGAAAAGATCCACAGTCACTGGTGACATCATTGAATGCTTGGGCAAAAGGTAGTGTATTGTAGATTGAAATTATTTGTATGATTGTGACCAAGCTATTGTTAAGCTTTTGCATTCTTTGTTGCAGTTTGGAAGACATTTGTCCAGCCAGTTAACTCCATTGGTGTCTTTGTGGCCTACTGATACATATCATCGGCAACCAAATTTACATATCCTGCTAGTGTATTTTCTTTAAGTTTTCCTTCTTTTCTGAGTTTTCTCCTTTCTTGTCTTCATTTCTCTCCGTCTGGTCTGCATAGTCTACTTTGAATATTTAAAATATGTCTGTTTGTTGTGACATGATAGACTCTAATAAGTAATAGTCTGGGGAAGGGTCGGCCTTGTTTCTGGTACACGAAAATCACGAACCGATGGTACGTCATGACCTAAGTCTAAGACGTGTTGCAACAATTATCCTGTTTTCAAGAACTTATTCGTATGGTGTGCCAGTTTTTAAAACTTTAGCAAACTATTTCCGATGATAATTGAGGTAATAAGCATTAATGATTAGAAACATAGGAAGTTGGAAATTTTAGAAAAGAGAGGAATAGGTAAAGGAGCGTTTGGAAAATTAGGAATCCTAGACCTTTTTATTTTTAATAAAGATCATGAGATAGAAATAAACGTTTATTTTTTAGCGTAAAAAATTGTTAACCTTAGAAGAGCCTATAACTTACCTTTAGGAGTCATATTCCCACTTTTTTGGTGGGTAGTAGAAAAAATAATTTTTTAATAAGCTCAAGTTTGAATTTAAAATTAAAAATTAAAAAAATACAAAAATTGAAAAAGACCAAGAGACTCTTTTTAATATATATAATAATAATATTGATATAAGGTATTTACTCTAAATATTTTGATTAAAAGATATAAAATTGTTATCACTTATCCTAAAATAACTTTTATTAGACATACAAGGGAGAAATCAGATTACTTGTGTCATGTCAGTTGACTTGAACTAGGGCATATGAGCTTGTGTTTCTATTAGCTTTCTTTGAAAGTACAAATCAAAAGTTGATATGCGAACACTTGAAAACATGCAAATCAGACAATGTGGAATTTAAACATTTTGAAGCATTTTCTTATACAAAATGGTCTCGCAAATTTTATAAGGTTAAATGTTTAAGAGAAAAATAAAATTGGGTTCTCATCATAGGTGTGAAGTGTTTGACTTGGTATAGAAAGTTACATGAACTAGACCTATACTAATTAGACAAAATAGACATGTAGTTGTATAGCAAGCTCAATAAAGCAAAAAGAACTATGTGTGGTATTGATTTTCCAATCATCATACATCCTTATAATTATACTTGTAATTGCTATGCAGGAGGAATCTACATGGAGGAGAGTAGAGATACTTGCCCTCACAACTATTTTACATATACATCTTTTTTTATCCAAAAAAAATAAAAATTATATTCTAAATAAAATAAATATATATTTAAATTATCATATGTATAAAATATAAATTCAGAAGAGTTGTTCATTTATTTGATATTTGTCAAACTTTTGAAGGAGATTAATTCTCATATGTGATAAAGAATATTCTTTAATAACGAATCAATTTTTTTAAAAAGTTTATATATATATATATATATATATATATATATATATATTTATTTATTGTATACATTGATTAAAAAAATTAAAATAGTAAAGATTGTAAGATTATATACGTTGATTAAAAAAATTCAAAATAAGAAATATCAGAAAATTTATGTTCTATTTAGAATTTTTATTATAAAATATGTTTTAAAATAAATTGACATCTAAAAATTTATATTAAATATTAAAAACATGTTTATATCATAAATAAATTAAACTTTATTTTTATACAATTTAACATATTTATTTTTATTTTTATTAGTGTTAAATTATTATAAAGTAGGTCTTTAAGATTGTTCTAACCAAATATTTATAAAAAAAATGTGTGTGATAGATAAATAAATCATATTTAGGACATGTATTTTTAAAAAAAAGTTAGGTTAAACCTGCTAAATTATAATATAACCTAATTTGACCTAATTTATTTTCATCTTTAACTATAATTGTAGATATAAAAATTTGTAAAAAATAATTATAATATATATTTTATACTTTTAAAAATTATATGTAAAATTTTTAATATTATAAATATATGAATAAGTATTGTCTTCACTATTTAAAATTTCTAGTTCTGTATGCGTAGTTATATTATACGTGTATTTAATATTCAAGTATTTTAGAGATTTTATCATAATCTTATATAAGTAATTTAACTTGCACTAATATAAGTAATTTCATTAATTGGTGAAGTTCTTCTAGGTATTAACTCCCCCTTGTATTCTCAACAGTTGGTATTAAAGTTGATAATTTGATCATGTGACCAATTCAAACAAATATTCAACAATAAAAATTAATATATATTTTTTGTATAAAAAATGTTCTTATGTTTTGTTAATTCGAGTTGATAACAACGAAAGCATCTAATAACACATAGATGGCAATGGTTAAATTCTATAAAAAAAAATCCATATAAGATAATATCTCCCATTATGGGAAAACAATTTTACACGCTTAGATATTTTATGGCTTGGTCTAGTTTTGGTTACTATGGTAGGTGCGGAGGCATGAAGAATCCAACAACTTCATGGCTTTTGTGATGGATTCCTATGAAAGGATTTGGAGCAATGGAGGACAAGAAGATGGGAATACTGATAAAGAAAAGAATAGTGGCTTAATAATGTTTTTATAAAATAAATAAATAAATAAACCAAGTGGTTTACGTTGTTATCTTCCATTCCAACTCTATTTTAGAGAACTAAGGAATATCGTTACATTAGTCTTGTGTCCTGTTTAATTCCATCTTTAAAATAACATCATACATAGAATGTAACTATTGTACCACGTTTTGTTGCATTCTCGCCTACCAAACCTACTTGATTTTCATGTTATGCCAGACAAGTCAAAAATCTTAACGTGGTAGAGGTTGGCAAATGTGAAGGATGACAAAGACCATTTTAGTTAAAAATATAACTTTTAAGTTGTATAAGTTCATTTTAACTTGTAAAAAAAATTATTATTATTATTTTTCAAATTGTGCTTACTAAAAAATTTATGAAAACTGAGTTTTGTATGATTCTCAAAAGTAAGTTGATGAATTGGTTGAGAAAGTTCATCTTGGCAAAGTTCATTATTTCTTTGCATGATATGGAATTGATTTTTATCAGCCTAATGTTTGTTGAATTGAAAATTTTAACATAGAATGACGCTAGAAAATCCAAAACCAGACCTTATTAGATTGAAAAGCGTAACTGTACATCCACAGACACAGTAAATTCTCTATCTAATGAACAAAGTTACACCCCCAACTATGTCCCATTCCAGTTTCAGTACTCTCCAAGCCATTTAATTACATTGCCCCTCATGCATGCCTTACAGTCCCCAAAGGCTCCACTAATGGCAAGGTCTATTGTCTGGCTGCTAAAACTGCCGGCCCTTCAACCTGATATATTATCCCACCAATTTCACAATTAGTGAAAATAATTGGACGCCAAGTTCATAAATGGATAGGAAAAGACATCACCAGTATCTGTTTTATATATTTGTTTCATTTTGTTACCTTGAAAGTTGCTCCCCAGATTTCCTCTTCATTAGCAGGAACTGCAGTTATCTTATTTTTAGGATTCTCATAGCACATCAATCCTCCAACAGCTGTAGAGTAGAAACATCCTGTCCAATTAGAGAGAGAGAAAAATGTCAACAATGAGAGGGGAGCTCCTTTAATTTAGGGGGAAAAGAAGCAGAATTGAGACAATGCCATTGTAAAAAATCTTAATTCTATCCTAAATATCTGCAGCACACAATTATATGGTCCATCCACTTTGTCATACTATGTCCATCATGGGAAGTTAAATGATCCGATCTGACCTTAATCACTACAAGCACTTATTCGGATCACTTGCAACAAATCTCTTCCAAAAAGTAATGAGAATTGTAATATAAGCACATGACATGATAGAAGTTAACCAACCTTGAGGGAAAGAAGCAAGTGACTTGCCACAAGCACCTTTAAGCAATTCTGCATCATCAGCAAATGCTACATGGCCATCAGCAGTTATTCCCCAGTATAGAGGCACCTTACCATTTTGGTCCTGTAAAAAACAAGAGGTAAAATGAGCAAGAAATGAAAGCCTAGGGTGGTGGATGTGAGAATTGGTAGGTGACTTACAGAGGCCACAAAGAGGGTAGAAGTGGTTTTGTCAAAAACTATGAATGCAAAGCTCCCACTGAGATGGCCAACAACGTGGTTAGCAGGATAGGGTGCTCTGTCACGCAAAGCTTTGTAAGCCTCAATCACCAACAATACTTCATTGGCTGACTTGGCCAGTCCATACTGCTGTCTCAAGTGCCCCCAATTGTCAAGAGCTCCCTCAAACAAGCAGAATACCTCATCCTTCACAGCAAAACATCTGCGATTTATAAAACATTGTTTACACACTAATTTAATGAACTGAACAAAATACAATCATACACATATTCACCCAAGTTAACTGTGAAAATAAAATGAGTTAATCTAACCCTCATTCAATCGTAAGTTGCCTTCAATTTATTTTTATTTAGTGTAATTCTTTTATACTGTTTTCTATCAAGAGATATCATAAAAATAAAAATAAATTAAAAAAAAAATATTTTCAGTATTTAAAAAATAAAAATAAACGATATTTTATATTATAGGTTGACTAAAAATATATCAACTTAAATTAAAAACAAAAACATAAATTAGAAAAAAAATTCACTTTTGTTCGAGTTTTGTAACTCAGGCAAACTTGATCACTCAAATTATATATTTCTTAAAATTATTTCAACATAAATCAACATAGGTTTAATATTATGAAACATTTTACTATAAAATTACATTAATAATTTGTTTTTTCAAAAAAGTACTGAAGAAGATAACCTGGGCTGAGCACCTGACTTAAATCAGCCTAATCAGCACCAGTTCACCAGGCTTAATAGATTTTCTCTGAATCTTATTGAAGTTCGTAGGTTGGATTTTGTTTTCTTAAAAAAAAAAAATCATATTTTAATATATTTTTACAGGTTATATTTTCGGTTTATCAATTAACATAACTTATTTTATTCTCTAGAAGTAGAATAAAATAGTCAGATTTTTAAAATTAAAAAAAAAAACAAAGTGACAATGATCACAGTGGTGGGTCCTGATTCTCCAGAATATGGCATACGGTCTAGGTACGACAATCTAACCTGTCCTGTGAGTACCTGTCCAAACCCGTTTTAATTTAAACAAGAAAACCTTATCAGGTTTGGATCAAATTTTTCTTGATAGGTGTGGATCGAATTTTTCTTGATTGATAAAATGGGAGATGACCATCCCCGTCTCGCTTAATAATATAATTAAAAAATTAATTTTATATACATAAATCAAAATTAGAAATTAGAAATATTTATATGTAAAAATTTATATTATTTTTTTTTATAAATTATTTATATTTATTTAAAAAAAAAAAAATAATAGGAGCGGGAGCGGCGGGACAGCTGAACTAAATTTATCCCGACAAATATCGGGAACGAGAGCGATAACAAGACAGACGTAAAACTCGGCCGCCCCATTGCGATGCCTAACTTAGGGTCCCTTGTAAAATTAACCACATAACCTGTTTGATAGCTCAGAATATCCCTAAGTTATTACGTCACCACACTCATTCACTCTAACGATCCGATCGCTTCAACCTTTAATTAATTTAAGTTGAGTGATTAACATTTAACAGGCACACTGAATAACGATCAATTTCCAGGGTTATAAGTTATAAGATAACAAGGTGTGAAAAACGACGTCGCTTAGAGGAGTCAAAACGCGAGAGCGTGATGACGTTTTATATGTTTACCTGGGCTGCCACGGGGATTCGTGGTGGTGGCTATAAGCTAGCTGCACCTGCTCTCCGATCTCCACCGACACTGCGGAGGCGTTCCTCTCCTCGAAACGCTTCCGCAGCGCCGCCGCCGTCATCTTCGGCGAGGGAGTTCGGCTTCCGGCGGCCACCAGCTCGTCCGGCGGCGACACTATGGAGCTGCTGAACACACCCAACATTTTTATCCCAAAATGGGATTTTAATTTCCCTTTTCTATGTATTCACCAGAATCTTCGGGCGGAATGGGATGCTAAACTGAAGTGTGGATTTGGCTTTTATAGAGGGAGAGGAGGAGGGCTATTTAGTCATTTCGCTGTAGTAACATGAAAATTTATGAATAATTCTGCAGAATTCTGGAACGAGGACAGGTGACACGTGGGACCCACCTTAATTCATAATTCATTCATCATTGCTCTTATTATCAGCCTTCCATCTTCGGACTCCGATTGTTCCAGTTATCTCCTGCGGAACCATCCACATTTCTTCTCATACAACCCTCTCATTTCTTCCCACGTCACTCACCACCACAAATTTAACTAACAATTTACAACATTTGAAAGTTAAAACATCTCGCATGACTTGTCCTTTTTCTAACGGGAGAGGTAGGTATCAAAAACTAGTTAAACTACAAATTACAACCTGTTAGTGAAGAAATGGATCAACGAAGAGGCAATTAGCAAAGGAACAAATGGACAAAAATGATCAATAAAAAACTTTAAATCAAGGTTGTCCTATTCCATGATCAAATAAAAACACAAATTAAGGGGGGTGTATTGGTTTAGGATTTCGTAGGATTTAATAAGTTATAATTGGTAAGTATAAACTAACATAGTAACATTCTCTTCACATGATCATGCAAACAAACAAGAGGTGTACAACAACATTATTAGTTAATTGTTCTTGCAGTTTCGAAATATGGATGGGTCTTCAACCCGTTAATTTACTAACTATTAATTTGTTATATCCCAGATATAGTAAGAATACAATAAAATTACGATTAAATATGTAAACTTTGTGCTGCTGTTCAATGTTCACCCTATAATGGTCCCATTTTAATTTTCAAGAGCGG